GTCGTGTAGTTTTAAATAATATATTGTATATGATATTAAAATAAACGTATTTTTTTTTGTTTTACAATAGAATAATAAATGCTTACGACGAAATTGTTAGTGGCAACAGTTTTTATTTATTTTTAATAACAATGGAATCCGCAACTATTATTCCATAATTATTGTTCTTTGGTTTGGATTAGTAGAATGTGAATTTAATTAAAAAATGTGAAAAATTGAATTGGGTGATAAATATTTGATATATATATATACATATATGTGTACAGACACTAAGATATAACCACAAGACAACTATTATATTGTGTTATCGAAGATAGGGTGACTCAACCGGTAAAAAATGAAACAAAACTCTTTTTAAATCCGGATTCGAGTCCTCATTTGGGGAAGGACATTCATATAGATTTCCGGTTTTCTGGAAATGTAATCCGATCAAAGACACGATGAATTTCCGGATTATAAAAAAAATGTATTATGTTGTGCTTCGATAATAAAGTGACATTCGTTGTACGATCGTTCTAACAAGTGGAGACTGCCACAAAGATCGAACCATCAGAGGGAATCTTACCTAACCATATTAACTGCCGACCAGACCGCGGGCATATTCCTTCCGACCATTCCTCCTTATTTTTATTGTCTCTTCTCTTGTGTGTTTTTTTTATAACTTAATTAATATTTACTCATTAAATGGCTCTTGTACCGAGTTAGCAAACCACAATATTTATAAATAAAAAAGTAAAAAAAAACATGGAAAAACCCAGAAAACAATTGCCAAACTGTGAATACAGAGAAATCGAAGGGGAAAAAAGAAGAAAGAAACAAAGAGTTTCTTTTATTTCTTTTAGGAAGTGGCGACACAGAAATGATCCCAATTTAGCAATCCCCTGTTATCTTGATCGCCTTCAACACACCTTCCAGGCCTTTGTAGATGATTCTCCACACTCATCGTCTGCTTTTCTTCATCATCATCATGTTTTTCTTCTGCTACTTCTCTTTCCAAGTCGCATTCTGCAGTGTGAATCTCGTTTTCGGGCTCGACCCTCTCCTCTTCATCTTCAACTTCATCTTCTTCCTGGTTTTCAAAATGGTCAGAATCTCGCAAGATGGAGAGGCGAAGGCGGCCGTTGCTTCTTTCCGCGTGAAAGCAAGTGTTGCGAGGCGGCTCATTGGTGGCTCGTAGTACTAATCTCCCGTCTTCACGGTGGGGCCTCAACCGAATACATTCGAAACCTCTCATACTCGTCAAAGGAGGTGGAAAACTAGGAACCACATTCCCTTTCCTACTTTTCAAACCTCGACTCGTCAACGTCCTTGTCTCCTCCGCACGAGGCGAAGTTAACGAGAAGACATCATCGTCGGTTATGTCAGAGCCTGTCTCGTTTCCGAGATTCTCAGTGCACAATGCCAAGCTCTTTTCACTGAGAGTCTTGGACGGGGAGCTCTGAACATACGCCTTCTCTTTCTCGGAGCTCGGGTTTGAAAGAGGAGAGCCGAGGGAGAGGGCTTGGAGGAAGCTCCAACCGCCCAAGTCAGGGTCAGGACAAGGGGAGTTTAGGGAACAAGACTTGAAAGCCAACTCAAGGGGTTGACAGAAGTGAGGATTGGGTGCAGATAACCTAAGCCTTAGAGCCCTTGGCTCACTGAGTTGGTGGGACTCTAGACATGATTGAAACCCTTGATACACAACTGTTGCCATAACTGTATATAGTACGAGAGGGGGAATTCAACAGATTATACAGAGGCAGAGGAAGAACAGAGGAGGTTACAAAAGGCTAAGATGTTTATTTGTGATGTGAAAGCAAGAAGCAAGAGAGAAGTAGAGAGAAGGGAAGAGATGCGATGAAAATGAGCATGAGGGATAAGGGAAGGGGAGGGTGCCAATTTGTAGTGCCCAAAAGCGAAAAAAAAAAAGAAAGAAAGCGGGGTATCGTGTGCAGAGAGGTGGGTAGGGAGCTTTTGACACCACCACTTGAATAATGCAAAATATTTAAATATGACACACAATGCAGATGAGAAATCAATATATGTATATATATATATATGCATATAGAAAACGCAAGAGGAACCAAAAAATAAAAGGCAAAGAAAAAACACTATTGTATAGTGCCTATGGTTAAAACAAAAGACATTTCTTTTTGTAATGCTGTATGAGTCGCCTGATTTTATAATAAAGTTTAAATCTTTAGTAAAACCTACAATAATAACAAAACATGCAATTTTCAGAAACCATAGTCGGATGGGGAAGCTTGGGTATTTTTAGTTTTTGACTTAAATAGCAAAATCACATGAACCAGTCAGCAAAACTGTCCCAACTCTCATGTGGGCAGAAAGAGCCTACATAAAAAGATTTTTTTTTTTTTTTTAAAAAAAAGAGGGTTTCCTAGACCTAGAGAAGACATTGAATGTGGTTAGAGAGAGAGAGAGAGAGAGAGAGAGAAACGGATGGGGAGTAACATGAGAAAAAGTTACCACCTTTACTATTCCTTTCTATTTTACCTTCCCAGGAAAAAAAAAACCCCACCAAAAGTCATCGAATTTATTTCCATACACTATGATAACGACTGCTTCTAACTAATATTCTTTTGTTCAAAGCAAGGACTCATGTCTCACCGGGTCAAAACCTATGTCGGTTTATCCTTAAACCACCACCATAATAACATGATAACAACAGCCCACCAATGTTGAAATCTCCATGAACCAAATCTACTACTACTATTATGGGCATCAATCAAGGCGAACAAAAATGTGTCTTGATGCACTTGTGGAAGGAATGGCCATGAAATGAAATGAAATGTGAATGGATCACATCATACATCTACGATATGCAAGAATGGGAAAAAAGAAACCAAGGCCTGTCAAAAACACGCTTACCCAATTACACTCGCCGTCGTCGTGTATTGAATGCGAGGAAATTCCATATTCCGCCCACTTTATATGACCTGAAGGAATAATTTAAAAAAAAATGCAAAGACACATAGTTCAATATAATAAGATTAAAAGAGGAATAGAACGAAGCCACCTAGGTTTCAGATCCTTATTTCGGGCAAGCTTGTCATAAATAGAAATTCCAGGTTGGTTTTGGTGGGATTAAGTTAACATCAAAATTTGTCTTTTTTTCTTGGCTAGAGAACACTAAGCTGCTTTTAGCAGCTCTCTTTCAATATAATTCTTAGCTTTGCCAAGCCATGTTACCCTAAACGTACGGATAGCTTATGGAGACAAAGTTGAGACCCTCGATTAATCAAGCAAGTGATTCCCCACTAACACTTTCTTCTGTCTCTCTGTTAAATGCTTACGTACGAACCCTAATAATAACCAAGATTTCTTTCTAAAAGTCCACTAAAAAAGAAGGGACACACCCTCATAACTTTTCGAGTAAAGAAATACCAAGGTTGCTGGCTTTGCTTAACTCTAAGCCATGTGGGTGAATAACACTATGACCTATCTCTGCTTTAGCATCACAAAGTTCAATAGCTTACAGAAAGCTAGTATGGCAATTGGCAAACCGTTCCTATTCCGAGGAAGGCCGGAGAGATTTTGAGATTCTGGGTTTCCTGTAATGGATAAAGCCATCTCAGTTTGCAATGTGTAAAGCATAACAAGAAACTACGACTGATGATGGACTGTGTAGCATAACAACATGTGCTGTACCCTACGCTCACTTTAATCAGCGTAGCATCTTTCTGAAGTTATTGCACACATCAGCACAACTAGGATTTAAAAATTTTGATGAAATTTGATGACCACTAGGAAGGTTGGTACGGAGATACCTTGATATATATTATCTTAATACCTATATTGTCTCCTCAAATTGTTCACAGTAGTTCTAGATAGGAGCAGTTTACGATATATTCCCAAGTATTTGATCATGTGTTTAGGCCACCAAAGAAGTGAACGGAAACAACATTACCATGCAAATACAATGCTGTCCAGGACAAGGAAAGTTTGTGGAACATAGATTTCTTGCACTTTACCTCGCCGCAGTCTACTCTGCGATGCAACTAAAAACTTCTCCTGCATGTTCTGGTGAAAGTAATATCATATACAGATGAGATGTGGAAAAGAAGAATTCATACAGCTGACCCCAAATAAACTTGGGATTAAGGCGATGTTGTTGTTGTTGTTAAAGACCTCAAATTTATGTGAAAGATCTTCAGAACCTGCAGTTTATTCCAACAGATCTTGTGACAGAATTTCAGTTCTGGAGGAATCAAGGATGGATTAGCAATTAGCAAGAAGGTGCAGTTTAACACACATGAGAATGAATGAAGAATATAAAATAAGGATTTTTTTTTATATCCAGCATGTAAGCAAGAGTAGAAAGGTATGACATAATTAATTAAGAAAGTGAAAAGGAGCTGACCTGCAGACGTAATCTTTCGACAAATATGAAATATCTAGATATTGAGCCTTGATCAGCACAAGTGGTCCTAAATTCTGAACCACCGCATACAAGAGAAGAAAGAAGCATAGCACCCTTTGGCCACTCGAAACGAGCATGCTTTTCAGTGTGTCCTTATACAAAAAGCTGCTTTTATAGTAAGATTTCAATAATTAAGTGAGACAGCTGACAGAAGCAAATGCATCAAACTAAAATCAGAATATATTTTGACATTTATAACTCACTTTGTTCAAGTCCACGATGAAAAAGCGAGAGACTGAAATTCGAATCGCAATCCATCAATATTAGTTATTTGTTTCAACTTAATGGAGGATCTGGAAGCGAGAATAGGTCATTCCATTTCAATTTGGGTGGAGACTAAACTTAAGCCTTACGCTTTCACATATGTATTACAGAGTATGTTATGCATCTCATGGCAAACATTTGCATAAACAAAGCCATCCACCATCTTTTTGACTACGTTATTGATACCTTTATGTGCCACTTCTTAACTTTTCAAGTTGGACCCAAAAAGAAAACATATATCAATGGACTGAGGGGAGAGCCTAAATAAGCCATGTTAACAAATGTTCAACAACTATTGGATAACATAGTCCACAAATGTAGGTAGAGTAAGAATATAAAGCTTACGAATTAAGCTGCACATAGTTATTATCTGTCCTGTGGCCATTATCGTGCATGATTAGCTTAGATATTCCGCACAATATATATATACACACATATATGATATATATAATATCAACCATAGATTATGCATCATATATCATCTCAGCAAAGAAAAGTTTCCAGCAATTAGTCATTAAACAATAAAAAACTTTATTGTAGTCTGAAATCACAACTCAATAATAATCCACAGGAACATATGCAGTCAGGGCAGCTTAAATCTAGTTTTATAGTTCAGTATTACCTTAAAACGAACACGGCAGTTCATCTGGAATGATTTCACTGGACAAACCACAAAGCCCATTTTAGTTGTGTAATGCCCTGAAGTACATTAATCCTTCTGGCCAATGGGAACATAAAAATCTTAATAACAAACTTAACCAATACAGAATAACGCATGGAGTCAGATGTTAAAGGGCCAAATAACTGCGGAGATCGAGGCATATACATATCAAAGCAGTTTCCTGTTATGGTTCAAGTATCTAAAATCGTCAAAATCGACTTTCCAAAAGGGAAAAACTGCTCGCAGGTGGACGTCTTTGATTGCTATTTCTGGAAGAGACGGTTGGAGTCATGCAAAAATGATAAAGCAAACAAGGGGAGAAAGAATGAGCGATGATGCATCTTATTGTCACGTAAACAAACAGCTTAAAACAAACGCGGATCCTACAACCTATACATATTCGACAACTCTGGTAAAATGAAACTTCACCTCGTTTGTGCAACGTTGAACTTCAAGAAGGAGAGTTATCACATTTTTTTGTGTACAGCGAAAACTTGAGAGAAGCTGAAAACACATTTGGCATCTCAGTGATGCGTGAATCAATCAGCCGACCACAAACCGTACTAATGTTTCCTAGGGGAGCATGTAACCATTTTTAACAATGTCACAGCAGATACTTACTAGGTCTACCAACCAACCAATGCACAATAGAGAAATTGTTGTTCATCACAAAGTACTACTACAAAAGATGGGCTCACAAAGTTGCTAAAGAAATTCAGTACACCCTCAAGTAAAGCCCTCAACAATTGAACATGTGCACAGTTGATTTCAGACTTGAGCAGAAATACAATATCTAAGGAATTCTGGTTACAGGGACTCCAACGAATTAGTTAGATGGCGAATCACCTCAACTCAGTGGTCCAGGTAACACAAGGTTCTGAATTAAATTTTTCTTCAAATTCAAACAAAAATATTCAAGTCACCTTTCAAATCTCAGCGAAATAATATAAAGGGCATTCAAACTGCGGGCAAAATTTTCATGGAACAATCAAACAACACTGGCCCACGCTCATACATACAAGATCCACGCCATGTTGATAATAGCAATAGTGAAGAATCTGACTCCACTTCCTTTACCCGTCCCAAATTAATTTATATACATTACGCATACGTATGCGTGTGTATCTCGATAGAAAAACACATACCAAAGGAACCTCGGAAACAACAGCATCGTACAAACCAAATCACGACTTCCGACACGAACACCAATTCCGACAGATCGAGTCTATATAGCACTGTTTTTACATTCGAAGGCTAAAGAGATCGGAAACAGACAAGATAAGATGAAGAAGACAACCAACCTCTCTCTGAAGGAATGGAAGCCATAGCAGAGAAATTTTCCCGGAATTCCTGAAGGTAGAGCGTGGGAGCGCGGCCATGGTTTCTCGGCTTCTCTTCCTCGCAACCGCCGTGAAACTTGAAATTTTGAAAAAAAAATATCGCCGAGGAACGATTGAAGACTCTAGCCGATTGCCAGAGTACCACGTGTCGGACTCGCACGTGTTATCTCAAAATTTTAAATTTCAGAAACTGGTCGTCACAAAAAACTAAACGTTGACTAAAAGAAAAAGGCCAAATTTAAAATACAATATAAGTAAAATAAAACATTTTGTGGTTGTGTTATCTCATTTTCCATATGACAAAATTTACAACCAAAATTTTAATTTACAAAATATACATAGCATCGTTTTTAATTTGTAATAGAAGATGTCGAAACTGCAAAATGTTTTTCAAAAAGTAAAGTCTTTGATTTGTCTATGTTTTTATCTTCTTCTAATCACGCGAAATGTTGGTGGTTGTTAGGAAATTAGCACGACATTACCAACACATGTTAAATTAATTTGATAAAAAATCATACGAAATGAAAATTTGTACTAACAAAATGTAATCTGTATCACCAAGAAAAAGGGAAAATAAGGAAACTGATTTGGAGATTCTCTCCTCTGCAATTTGATTCGTGAGTTTTGATTCCTTGAGTCTCAGAATTGTCCAAAAATAAACAAAAATTAAAAATTATCAGGGTTCATATGAACTTATTTAATGATATTCAAAAAAACAAGAAATAAAATTATAGCACATTTTATATTGTAAATTATGATTTTATACAAAGACATTGTATTTTCCATTTATCTCTATCTTAATGGTTATATTCCTTTTTCGGCACACAAAAAATTTAAACTAACCCTAGCACCATAAATGTTAGGATAAAAACAAATTAAAATGAGAGAATAAAGAGGTAAAAAATAGAATAAAATGAAGATATGTACAAAAAATTAGGGTTTATGAGATAATGCAGAAAAAAAAAGGAATTTTGGTGGGCTTTTATGGTAAAAACATGAACAGCTTGTACACCAACATTAATTATAACGCGGTTAGTGAAATGATAGCACTCTCCAAGTGTGTGTATAAATTCGGCGCACAACAGTTAAAAAAAAATATAAGCAGAAAAAAAAAAGAGAGAGATTAAGACAGAGGAGGTGAGAAAATTTCAAAGCGAGGTTCTCGGGAACCAATCTGGGAGAGAAGGTGCAGAATCAGAGAGAGAGAGAGAGATAGAAACTGACGATTGGGATGGGCATTTCTGGGATATTCATGGTGCTTATGCTGCTGCTCATCTCCTTCCTCATCCTCTCCGCCTGCAAGCCATGGCGCTACCTTTCCCGCTTCCGATCCTTCCGCTTATCCGTCATCAAGGTACCCTCATTCCCTCTCTTGCTTTGTCTCTTCTGTCTGTCTTCAATGGTGCTCTCTGTTCGATGCCAAGCCTTCGTCGTCGCAATCCCTAGCGCAATGATCGATCGTGAGTTCGTAATGCTTGATCGTGTGAATGACCTCAGTTTCGTCGCTGGATCACGCTTTTGTCATTGCCCTGATCCGTCAAGAATTCGGAAAACCTACATTCTGCGAGTATTTATTGTTTTTTAATCCAATTCTGTGTGTTTAGGGATCGTGTCGACGTCGGGCGGAATTTTACTGAAGAATGTGTGATAGGCTTTGCTTCCGAACAATTTAATGTTGGAGAAACTTCAATCTTCTGATAGTTCTGTCCTTGTTTGATTGATATGTAGCTCAAATTCTGATGGATTCGTCTAGGTTAAGATGGCCGTATCTGGGATTTTCTGCCTGCTCAATTTGTAGGAAATGTGTTAATCCGAGAGGCCAACTCCACCATCTTTGGATTTTGCTCTTACCTTGTGAGAGGCAGTTATCAATCAAGATTTGGCAAGATCGTGGATTTCTAGAACTGTTGATGTGCATGTAGACTGAGCCCAGCATTTGGAAACACGTTAACTTTTTCGATGCGAACGTGTTGATGCCAGAGGTTTATCAATGAGGATTATATTGTTTCTGTGTTTGGTGCTGGGTGCATAACTTATTAACTCATGTGAGGCTCCATTCTCACTGGAAATACCACGCGATTCCACGTATATTTCATATATAGTATAATTAATCTGTTGCTTTCCTTGCGTAGATTTCTTATGCATGCAATTGCTGCATGACTTGGATAGCATATTCAAGGTTTTATAGGAACTATATCCGGCATGTTGTTATTAGATTCGTGAGACCTGGAAATCGTTTCTCGGCTGAAGTGAGTTTCTCAATTCTTGGCTACAGAACATCCAATTATAGAACCCTTTTGTTTTCAGTCAGAGTCTTTATACTTTCAACGTCATTCTCCTCAGGCAGGGGATTTACAAAGACCCCTAGTATCCGATCATGGAAATTCGAGCCAGGGCCAAACGAACGAATTAACAAGGGAGTATGATCTAGAGGGAGCTTGCTACAAAAATGAAGGGCTTTTGCATGCATCTCTAACGGAAGGATGTGTTTACAAACAAAGGCTTCCTTCTTCGTCTCCCCATCTCACCCTCGGTAAGTCTTTCCATCAGAGATACATCATTACAGCTTAAGGAAAGTTGCAATTAGTACAAGACATCATCTCTGTGTCATGAAGTCTATGCCTTAATTGTTGCTTGCTTTCTCAATCTGCCTTACAATTCTGTAGGCGAAAGCTTGATAGTTGAAGTAATTTCTGAACATCCTGAAGACGTTTCGGTGGGCCAGACACTTAAACATCAAGCTGAAAAAGGTCAATTAGCGGAAGTGCAAAACTATGATTGGCAGGATAACCAAAGTCACAAGTTGAAACATGATCGAGAAAGCATTAGGCTTAGGGAGCTTTCTCCGAAACCAATCGAAGACAAAAGTAATTCTCTTTCTTTTGCCAACCCTAGGGGTGTAATGCAGCTTCTATATTTTTTCATTTCTGTGTAAGACATATATCATATCTTTTTGTTAGAAGTGCAGGAAGCTGGCTGTTTTTGGAGGTCATTTCTGGTCCTTCTGTTGGGCTTCGATTTTCTGTGGAGTCCACAAGTATTAACCTGCCACTGACCCTTGGGAGGGTTTCCCCTAGTGGTTTATTGGTTAAGGACTTCGAGGTTTCTGGGAAGCATGCTCAAATAAACTGGAACTCCACTGTAAGCAACAATGTTTTTTCATTTCCTTTGCTTCTCTCGTGCGTTACGTATAACATTTGCATGGGTTTGGTTTCAGAAATTAAAGTGGGAGCTGGTAGACATGGGTAGCCTAAACGGGACTCTCTTGAACTCTCGGTCAGTCAGTCATCATAATTTAGGTAGCCGAAACTGGGGTGACCCAATTGAGCTTGCAAGTGGAGATATAATAACTGTGGGTACAACCACAAAGATCTATGTAAGTTGACTCTAGCTAATGAAGGTGTTTTTCTTTAATTTTTCATTTCTTTTAGTTGACCTTTCATGCAATTCTTTTTAACTTTGGTAGGTACGTATCTCATCTCAGAATGAGTATCGGACGCCCTTTAGGGTTGGCGTGGCCTCAGATCCCATGGCTTTACGTCAAGGAGGCAGGAAGCTTCCTATGGAAGATGTTTGCTATTACCAGTGGCCACTTCCTGGGGCTGATAAGGTTCCATGGATTTGCTTATTTCCTTGGCTAGCGGGGTCGTGACCCTTTTTTTTGGGGTTCATCTAATAATACATGTCTATGTATGTAAACTGTTGCAGTTTGGGCTGTTTGGTGTTTGTGATGGACATGGAGGACCAGAGGCTGCTCAAGTTGCAAGCAAGTTAGTAGTGGTTTCTAACTCCGGTCCACTTTTTCATATATAATTTCTCCTGTCAAATTTCTTAAGTGGCTTCTTCGTACATTTAACCTACCAAAGATGCTTAGTTACTTACCTGTTGGTTAATCGTGGGAATAGCTCCAGTATTTAACTTGTCTATAATTTACCTGGATTCTTTAAAAATGAAGTTATTTTATTTCCTTCTATGTTAATGAAGTTTCAGTAACCGGAATATATTTGTTTTGAATTATCGTCTCTCAGTTACGCTTATTGCTTGAAGACTTAACCTAATTAAACTTCAATTCCAGAATTTTCCCCGAGATTTTGGCGAATATTTTGTCAGACCCGGTGAAGAAGGGGAAAGTATTATCACAATGCGATGCTTCAGATATCCTTAGGGATGCCTTCTCAAAAACAGAAGCTTGCCTGGATCACCTTTATGAGGTTTGCTGCCTGTCATCTTCTTTTCTGTGTTCGACTTATGCAAACTCCGTGTCTTTGGGTGGAATGTTTCATTGCTTTCTGAGCAGTTGAGATGATGCAGGGTTGTACAGCAACTGTTCTCTTGATTTGGGAAGATGGTGAAGAAAAATTCTTTGCACAATGTGCTAATGTTGGGGATTCAGCCTGTGTTATCAAGTATGTACGAAAATTTTATCAGTCTCTTAAGATTATTAGTTGCTCTTTCTCTGTGTCTGAAGTAGAAACTTGTGGAAGAATTTCTTAGTGTATAGGACAAAGGAGGGGCCTGATTATTGAGAATGGAAACAAGAGTCTCGAGTTTCTGTATCATTTGAACGCTCTCAAGTTCTTCTCAATCGCAACCTTTTGTTCATGGTGTAAAACCATTTTTGGTAACATTAGATAGTATTAATCGAAAGTCTACGTAACGTATTCTAGGGTTAGTGTAGAAAATATAGTGCATGAGTATACATGTGGCTTTTTACGTCGAACAATAATTGAGTGAAGGGATTCACAAAGGAGAGGACATTCTACTGCTCGGGTAGTAGGGCAACACCACGTTGGTTGTGGAAATTGAATGAGAGAGCATAGCACAGACTTTGCTTAATCACTGCACTCTATTGACATCTAGAGCACTTAGTTATGCTAGAGTGGTAATGTAGCAAATAAAATTCTCAGGAAGTGATTTTTCTCAGACTAACAATGGCTTCTGGTTTCTGAATGATTACAACTTGGTTTCTTTGTGGCAGTGTTGATGGGAAATATATACAGATGACCCAAGATCATAGAATGACTAGCCCTTCTGAGAGACTGCGAATGCAAAACTTAGGGTTACCCTTGAGAGATGGGGAGAAACGACTGTTTGGTAATGCAAAATTTAATTATTCTATTGGTGGTGCCAAATCAAAGTCATGGAAGACCCTTGAACATTCTTTTTTTTCCCCGACGATTTTCAGGTGTAAACCTTGCTAGGGTGCTTGGAGACAAATTTCTGAAGAAGCAAGACATCCGTTTCAGTGCTGATCCATATATAAGTGAACCTGTAAGGCTCGATCATGGAAGAGAAGTATTTGCTCTACTGGCAAGGTGATGTTACCTTCTAGAGAACGATAAAAGAAAAGAAAAGAACTATCCTTTGGAATGAACGTCGATGCTTACCATCCTGATGAGGTTCTTTGTTTCTAAAAACCGAAAATTACATATTGCAGCGATGGCTTATGGGACGTGGTCAGTGTGAAGAAGGCTGTTCAGCTTGTTCATGAGGTAGCTTTCTCTCGTCATGAACGCCTCCTAACGCATGTCTTTTTGGGTTACCGAGATTAAGCTCGTGCCGTGCTTAAAATTCGAGTCATTGAATCTTTTTTTGGTACAGAACAAGATGAGGGACGGAAGAAGCTCGGGGGAAGATAGGACGGTGAATCAAGCTGAGAAGATAGCAAACAGTTTGTTGAGCGAAGCCAAAACCATGAGGACAAGAGACAACACCTCTGTGATGTACTTAGATTTCGACAGGAACTGTAAACTGTACATTTGATGTACAAGAAGGAAAAAAAAAAAGAAAAGATGTCAGCGCCTCTCCAGCCATTTGTGTACCATTTTCTTTCCCATTTTGATTCCTGTTGTTAGTGTTATTTAGCATAGAAAAGAAAACCTCAGGTTACAGAGTTTTAGGTCCGGGGCTGGAGGCGTTACTGGTTTATTTATCTCCAATAATAATAATAATAACAAATAAAGAGGTTATTCTTTTCCATATCTTCTTCTTCTGTAAAATTTTATTTTTATGTCAATTTCCTTCTTGGTATTTCTGGATAAAAGAAAGGCCCATTGATAAAATGAAAGGCCCATTAGGTGGCTTGTTTGGGCCCATGATGCCTCCTTGAAGAACCCAAAACCACAGAAACCCTGACGAAGGCGCCACCGTTGCAATCGCCGGCGGAGATGGGGAAGAAGAAGAAGAGAAGCCGTGAAGAGACGGAACCGGAGCTTGCTGCGGAGCAAACGAAGAGCCTCGATGGAGATTCGAAGAAGAAGAAGACGAAGACGAAGAATCCCAACGCCGACAAAGAGATGACCAGGAGCGTATCCACCGTTAGCATCGCCCTTCCTGGTTCCATCATCGATAACGCTCAGTCTCTCGAGCTCGCCACACGCGTACTTTTCTCTCTCTTTCCTTCTCCTTATTCCTTGTTTGGCTTCCGAGAAAATTTGTTCCTTCCTTCTCTTCGTTTTGCATCGGCAGCTGAGTTTGTGTTTTTTGTGAACATTTTCAGTTAGCCGGTCAAATTGCTCGTGCGGCCACCATTTTCCGTATCGACGAGGTCTGTTTCTAAATTATCAGTGAAATTATGCAACCGCACTGCCGTTTATAGGTTCCTTTTTGTTGAAATGCTTAGAGACGTTTGCATTTTTCTCTTCCGGTTCCAAAACTAGTTGAATTCTTGTGTTGTTAGTATTGCATCATCTCTGTTATCAGTTGCGTATTTTGTGTATGGGGAATGTGTTCAAAAGCTTATGCTTGAACAGGTAGTGGTATTTGAAAATAGGAGGGGTTCGGGCAATGACTCTGCTGTTAACAATTCATCTGGCGGTGATGAGAGTGGCGCGGCATTTCTCATTCGTATCTTGCAGTATCTAGAAACGCCGCAATATTTGCGGAAATCTCTTTTTCCCAAGCATGGTAACCTCAGATATGTGGTGTGTACTAGCTTCTTAATCTTCTTCTAGGCTTTCCACTTTAGCAATATCAGCTTCAAATCTTGATCGTATAACATCTTGTAAACGATTTGTCCCGTTATTTTTTTTATCAATAACAGGGTATGCTACCACCTCTTGATGCTCCACACCATCTCCGGAAGCATGAGTGGGCTCCATTTCGTGAAGGTAGGCGAAAGTTCATTGGTATCCAATCGTATCACTAGTGATTGTTTAGCTTTCAGCTTTGGGACAGGGCTTTTTGCTGATATACTCTATCCAAATTCAAATTTTTGGTGGAAAAATATGTCCCCCGAGTAACCACCTTTCTCCATTGTTAGACACCCAATAAAAGCTGAGATATTAAGCTGAGATATTCTTATAGGTGTGACGCTGAAAGAAAAGTCTCCGCATGTTAAAGGGACGATGGTTGATGTGGGTTTAAGCCAGGTACTCTTAGATCTTCTGGAATTGGGATTTGCCCCATCTTTTTAATACTTTCTTCTGGAAAAGCAGATGTCACATAAGATTGATTTTTTTTTCTGATGCCCATGATGCAGAATGTTGTTGTCGATCAAGTGCTTGATCCTGGAGTTAGAGTTACAGTAGCCATGGGAAGCGATCGCAATTTAGAATCTGGTAATAGCTTGTTTCGTTCTGGTCACTGAAATCATCTGTTTTGTACCTTGATACTATATTTTTAAACTATCAACCATGTTTTGCCATTCTTTGTCACCTTGAGGTTATTTCAACAGACTGTTCTTTATTACTGCATGACACATTACCTTTTATTGACAAACATTACAAAAAAAGGGTTAGATGCACAACTCATCAAGTTAATGATTTTTGCATTCCATTCATCTAGATTTGCCACGCCAGGTTGTCTCGTCTTCTAAGCCAAGGGAAGAAGCAGGGATGTATTGGGGATACAGAGTACGATATGCTTCAAATATAAGTTCAGTATTCCATGAGTGCCCTTTCCAAGTAATGATTTACTGCTGCTCTTCATGTTTCTTTGGGTTACATAATTTGTTGTGCCTACCGCTAGCATAACCTAATTTTTTTTTTCTCTCGGGGTAGGGTGGATATGATTATTTGATTGGTACATCAGAGCATGGTTTAGTAATCAACTCATCGGAGCTGAAACTCCCAAGTTTCAGGTGATCCTTGTTCCTTGATTTGGTAAATGTTGTTTCCTGGTGAGGTTACTTTGGTGAAATAAAAAAAATGTGTTGATGAGAGAGAGACTTCACTGTATTTCACTTAGAGAACAACGGACGTTGGGGGATTGAGTCAAATGGTGTCATGGCATGAATTCACTGTGCCAGTTTGTTAACAAGACTGACTTTAGCTTGACTGTTATATATCAAAACAGGCACCTATTGATTGCATTTGGTGGACTTGCTGGGCTGGAAGAGTGTACTGAAGCAGATAATGAGTATAAGGTAAATTTCCTTCAAGCATTGGGTTTATTCTTTCGCAAGGCTTGCAGCCGTTGCTGTAAAAGCGAATGCCGTGAAACATATATAGACCATGGTAATTGACCTATGGATAGTAGATACAGATGGTCAATCCTTCAAACCGCTGAAACCTAAAAGGCGAGGATCTGACAGAACTAATGGATTATGTGCCGAGTAGTAGTAGTAGTAGTAGTAGTAGTCTGATCTGATGAACTCTTAGGATTTGGATATGGGAAAACCTTTATACTTGGCAGCTCCAAGAAAACTTGTCCTCTAGAGTGATCTGAAATTTGCTGGATCTAGCCCGATATATATTAGGTAATCAAACTCCGATAATCGAAGAAAACTAACGGTTTGACGGCTAATTGCAGGGTAAAAACGTACGGGATGCGTTTAACATATACTTGAATACTTGTCCACATCAAGGGAGTCGAACCATACGCACAGAGGTGTTTCATGGATTTAACTCACTCACCTATCATTTACTTGTGTTTATCTGGTTGAGGTTGTTTTCTATGTCCTAAAATATTGGAAACTTAATATAATCGTGCAGGAAGCGATGTTCATTTCACTGCAGTACTTCCAGGAACCCATCAACCGAGCTGTCCGAAGAACATGAAAAAACTTGGAACCGAATATTCCCAATGTACTTTCTCTTGTGTAATTTCCGTGAACCGCAACCAAAACGAAGAAGAAACGCTTTTTGGATGGAGAGATGGTGCTATAATTGTTTTGAATTGAATCCCAACCATTGGATTGAATAAATCATGTACGTGCTTGGTCCGTCTTACCAAGTGTACGTTGGACACGCACGTAGCCAAGTAAAATATCAAGCGCGCACACATATTGGGTGTTCTAACCGATCTGTAATAGCGCTTCCCGAATCAACAACTCAATTTGCATTTCATATGTACGTATAATCCTTACTGTATATATACACACACTAGCACTAGTGCGATATTTTGCGTGGATTTTAGTATTTGCTACTGAGAGAAGCGATAATGGAGACAGCGAATAGGGCACAACCGAGAGACGACTACGACGAAAGACGACCACCGCCGGAATTGCCCTCTTTTCCGCCTGAGATCATAAGGGGCATTCTCCTTCGATTACCCGCGAAATCTATCGGCTGATTCAGGTGCGTCTCTAAGCTCTTTCGATCTCTCTCATTGGACCCAGAGTTTGCGAAGACCCACCTCGATCTTTCCCTTCGAAACGACGCCTTCCGATCAGGTCGGCGAAGGCTCGTCTTGTCTTTCCGCCACGATCTCTACACTGTAGATTTCGATTCGATCGTCGATGCGTGCGACGGGATAAGAGATTTGGGTGCTGTTGAGATCCCTCAGTCTCCAGTCTTGTCCAATCTCGTCTCATCGTATTATCCGAAGTACTGGGTTCAAATGGTCGGGTCTTGCAATGGGATGCTGTGTACCACTAATGAAGACGCCGACGTGTTCTTGTTCAATCTGACCACTGGAGAATCTAAGAGAATTCCGGGTGTGCTCGAATTGCTGAATTCGGGGTGCAAACGGGAGAAAATCAATGGGTTTGGGTTCGGGTTCGGGTTCGATGCCATAACTGATGATTAATATTATAAGTTGGTGGCGCTTGTCTCGGGCGATGTTCTGAATGCTAGTGTTTATTCTCTCAAGACAGATTCTTGGAAATGGGTCGGATATTCGCGTTATGGATATGAATATAATGATACGGGCGCCGATGGTCTTCTTGTAAACGGTGCAATCCACTGGGTTGCAAGGCATCGAGAGGATGGTCGGAGAGTTATAGTGGCGTTCGATCTAACGACTGAGCAGTTCTTTGACATGTCTTTTCCTGATGAAGCCGATGACTGCCCACACAGAAAGCCTCATATCGCCAAACTCATATGGTAGGGCTTAGCATGCGTAGGAGAACGATTTCCACGGAATAAATGTGTGGTTAGACCCAGGATGAATTTCATCGTCACCACCACCTTATGATGATGATGATGATGATGATGATGGTTCTGAAGAAGGTTGTTGCAGATACATATTTGGATAGTGTTGTATCACGAGAAGATATGTGCTTCTTCGGTCATGGAATACACAATTTCATTTAAGATTCTGATCCATGTAGCGGAGTGCGGATAATGTGTTGTGAATCATGAAATATCAAGCATACGCATACACGCAGAACGCTTGAAGTGACGGCGATTAAATGTGAGCGAGACACAACAAATGTCGGAATTGGAGAAACCGTTTCCGACCGAAGATCTTATCTCGGAAGAGTCTAAATTCCGACCTGACTTCTTTTCGTTTGATCGATGTTCTTCGTGTTTTTACGACAAAATTCGACGTGTCCATATGTTTCTTTGGGTTTGTTTTTGTGGTTGAGTTGATGGGTTCTTTGTTTTCTTATTATATAAAGGCTTTTCGTATTATTCTTTCATAATTAAAAAATAAAAAACACAATATATCGAAGGACCCATCAATCTTGATTGGAGCCCGTTACTCATGCAGCGCGTGTTTATTACACTGTATAAAGCTGTTTTTGGTTGGACTGCGGTATATCAAGTTACACACACATATACATATACATATAAAAGATACAAGAAGACCTTAGGTTAAATAATTTACATAACGATTAAAACTATCTTCATAATCTTAGTATGTAGGATCAAACGCGTCTTGAAGCCAGTTTTTTAATCGGTTTTCATATTATTGCATCTAACTCGGTTTTTAATCGATTTTGAACATATTGAATTGGTAAAGTCTATAACCGGTTAAGGAATACCGGGTTTAGACTAGGATTTGAGATTTCGGGGTCTTACACTAATAATGAGAAGATTTGGAAAAGAAAAAATTGCATAAATAATCCTAAATGTCGATTTGTACTTTACCGTATGACCTTCTAGGGTTAGGGTTTTAGAAAAAAAAACAAAAATACTGAAAAGACCAATTTAGCCCGTATGAAATTGAATACGTGACACTTTTATTTTATGTGAACTGACGAAAAACTTTTGGAGTGAAAAACTTATTCTTTCACTTTTTCCAAAAATTTAAAACGCACAAACATTTTCTGATTTCTTTTTTTTCCTAAAGAGATTTCGTTGCGATTCTATTAACAATTTTCTTAAGTTTTCTTGTTATACTTGTCAGATTTCTATCTATGACCAGATTTGACACTCCAAAGTTGAAGAATTTGAAAATGCATGGAAAGTGGTCGATAAAAATCCTCAGAAAAATTTTGGCTCTTAAAACATCATACTGGTCATAGCGGTCAGACTTTGGTCATACGGTCAGAATTTGGTGTGACGGTCAGACTTTGGATTAAGTTGATAGTGATGACGATAATTGTGAGCGGAACACAGCCGCTGTGCACCGGAGCTATACATGTCGGAGTTGGAGAAACCATTTCCGACCAGAGAAATCACCTCGGAAGAGTCTAACCCCCGAATTCTCTTTGGTCTGATCCATGTTCTCTATGTGGTTTTACGACGATTTCGTCGACACATGTCTATATGAATCTGTGTGTTTGTGTTTGAGTGATGGCTTCTTGGTTTTCTTGTTCTATCAAAGACATTGTATTTGTTCCTATCATTCTTTCATAATAAACAAAAAAATAATAATAAACACAATATTCGGGGAGGACCGACTAATTTTTAAGTATGTTATTATTGTAATGTATAAATTTTGTTTTTTGGGTTGAATTCCGATTAATCAAGTTATATATATATATATAGAAAATACAAGAAAACCTGACTAAATTATTCATATAACGATGAAAGCTATATTCATATCATACGTACGATCAAACACATCTTGAAGCCGCATTTAATCTGACCCGGTTTTTAATCGATTTTGAACACATTGAATTGGTAAAGTTTTAAAACCGGTTAAGGAATACCGGGTGGTTTTGACTGGGGCTTGAGATTTCGGGGTCTTATAAATAGAGGAGATTTGGAGAACTTATACATCTGCCACTAAAACGATGATGGAGACAGCGAAGGGGGCACGACGGACAGACGAGTACGTCGAGGAAGAAGAAAGTTGTGGCGATGCTCCACCGGAATTTCCCTTTCTTCCGCCAGAGATGATAAGGGAGGTTCTCCTTCGATTACCCGAGAAATCGATTGGCCGATTCAGGTGCGTCTCTAAACTCTTTCGATCTCTCTCGTCGGATCCTGCGTTTGCGAAGGCCCACCTCGATCTTTCCCTTCGAAACGGTGCGCTCCCATCAGGTCGGAGAAGGCTCATCGTGTCTTACCGCCACAATCTCTACACGGTAGATTTCGATTCCGTAGTTGATGCGTGCGACGGTATTAGGGATTTGGGTGTTGTTGAGATCTCTCAGTCTCCTGTCAAGTCCAATGTCGTCTCATCGTGTTATCAGGAAGGTTACTGGGTTGGAGTGGTTGGGTCTTGCAATGGGTTGCTGTGTACCACGAATGTAGCAGGTGACGTGTTCTTGTTCAATCTGACCACTGGAGAATCTAAGAGAATTCCTGGTGTGCTCGATTTGCTAACTTTGGGGTCCGAACGGGTGAGAGTTTGTGGGTTCGGTTTCGGGTTCCATGCCATAACCGATGATTATAGGTTGGTTGCACTTGTCATGGGCGATGTTCTGAATGCCAGTGTTTATTCTCTAAAGACAGATTCTTGGAAACGGGTCGGAGATTCGCGTTATGAATATGATGATGATGATACCAGTTACGATGGTCTGCTTGTCAATGGTGCAATCCACTGGGTTGCAAGGCATCGAGAGGATGGTCGGAGAGTTGTAGTGGCGTTCGATCTAACGACTGAGCAGTTCTTTGACATGGCTTTTCCTGATGAAGCCGATGAGTGCCCACACAGGGTTAGGGGATTTCAGCTCCATAAACTCAATGGCAGACTCTGCATGGTTTACAGCTGCTTCGAGAAGCATGGTGATTTCTGGGTGATGAATGAGTATGGTGTGGCTAGCTCTTGGATCAGAATTCGGATCAGCGTGAGGTACAGGGCCATGAAGCCACTGTGTTCGGTTAGGAATGAGGAGGAAACTCTTATGGAACTAAATGGACAGTTGGTGCTGTACAATTTCCGGAATGACGTTTCTACGTCATTGGTCCTTAAAGATGCTGAGATGCCCTGCGTAATGGCGGCCGATACATACATAGAAAGCCTCATATCGCCAAACTCATATGGTAGGGCTTAGCATGCGTAGGAGAACGATTTCCACGGAATAAATGTGTATATGTATATATTTACCTATGCGGCCGCGAATCTAAACAAACTGTTGATTTTTTTTTCTTCCTTCCAAAACCCTAATTTAAAAAGTTTAGTCTTTTTTTTAGATTCGTTGAAAAATTTTAATGTTTATTTCACAAAAAATAAAAGTGTCTTTTCGTCAATTGTAAAGTTTATTTTCCCTATTTTTTATCCTTGTATCTATAAAATTATACAATGCTAAAATAAAAATTTCCAACGGTAAAAACAAATGGGCCGTAACGAGGCCCATAAATCCCTTGGATGGCCATTGGATTGAATAATCACGCGTGTTTGGTCCGTCTGTCTTGGAAGATATATTGGTTTGAGGTGTACGGTGGACGCGCACGTAGCCAAGTAAAATATCAAGCGCACTGCGCGCACATATATTTGGTGTTCCAACGGATCTGTGATAGCGCTCCTGAATCAACCATCCAATTTGCATTTCATATATACGTATAATCCTTACGTGTATATATACATTAGTATTAGTGCCATATTTTGCGTGGATTTTAGTATTTGCTACTGAGAGAAGCGATAATGGAGACAGCGAAGAGGGCACGACCGAGAGACGTCTACGGCGAAAGACGACCACCGCCGGAATTGCCCTCTTTTCCGCCAGAGATCATAAGGGAGATTCTCCTTCGATTACCCGCGAAATCTATCGGCCGATTCAGGTGCGTCTCTAAACTCTTTCGATCTCTCTCGTCGGATCCTGCGTTTGCGAAGACCCACCTCGATCTTTCCCTTCGAAACGACGCCTTCCCATCGGGTCGGACGAGGCTCGTCGTGAATTACCGCCACAATTTCTACACGGTAGGTTTCGATTCCATCGTTCATGCGTGCGAGGGGATAAGAGATTTGGGTGCTGTTGAGATCCCTCAGTCTCCTGTCATGTCCAATCTCGTCTCATCGTGTTATCGGAAAGACCTCTGGATTGAAATGGTCGGGTCTTGCAATGGGTTGCTCTGTACCACTAATGAAGTAGCCGACGTGTTCTTGTTCAATCTGACCACTGGAGAATCAAAGAGAATTCCGGGTGTGCTCGAATTGGTTAATTTGGGGTCCAAAGGGGGTAGAATCAATGGGTTCGGGTTCGGGTTCGATGCCATAACGGATGATTATACGTTGGTGGCGCTTGTCACGGGCGACGTTCTGAATGCTACGGTTTACTCTGTCAAGACGGATTCTTGGAAATGGGTCAGAGATTCGCGTTATGGATATGATGATATGAGCGACGATGGTTTTCTTGTAAACGGTGGAATCCACTGGGTTGCAAGGCGTCGAGAGGATGGTCGGAGAGTTGTAGTGGCGTTCGATCTAACGACTGAGCAGTTCAAAGACATGGCTTTTCCTGATGAAGCTGAGGATTGTTGCCCACACGCGCATAGGGTATTTCTGCTCCATAAACTCAATGGCAGACTCTGCATGGTTTACGGCTGCTTCCAGAAGCACGATGATTTCTGGGTGATGAATGAGTATGGGGTGGCTAGCTCTTGGGCCAGAGTTCGGATCAGTGTGTCATACAGTAACATGAAGCCGCTGTGTTCGGTTAGGAACAAGGAGGAAACCCTTATGAAACTAAATGGGAAGTTGGTACTGTACAATTTCCGGAATGACACCTTTACAACATTGCTCCTTAAAGGTGCTAAGCAGCGCAACATAATTGTGGCCGATACATACATAGAAAGCCTCATATCGCCAAACTCGTATGATAGGGCTTAGCACGCGTAGGAGAACGACTTCCACGGAATAAATGTGTAGGATGAATTTCGTCATCATCGCCTGATGATGACGATGATGGTTCATGAAGTAGGTTGTTGCAGATACATATTTGGAGAGTCTTGTATCAGGAGAAGATATGTGCTTCTTCAGTAATGGAATAACATAAATTTCATTTAAGATTCTGATCCATGTAGCGATCGGAGTGAGGATAAGTGTGGGCAGTTAGTGACGACTGGTTGATAAATTGTTGTTGCCGGTGAGAATAATCTGTTGTGAATTATGAAATGTCAAGCATATGCATACACACAAAGAACGCTTGAACCGACGTTTAAATGTGAGTGGGACACAATAAATGTCGGAGTTGGAGAAACTGTTTCCGATTTTATCTCGGAAGAGTCTAAATTCCGACCTGACTTCTTTCGTTTGATCGATGTTCTCCGTGTTTTTACGACAAATTCGACATGTCTATATGTTTCTTTGGGTTTGTTTTTGTGTTTGAGTTGATGGTTCTTTGTTTTCTTTGTTACAGAAAGGCATTTCATATTATTCTTTCATAACTAAAAAATTTAAAAATTAAAAAAATCACTGAATTTTTAAATTTTGACAAAAAGACACTAAATTTTTTATTTTATCAAATAAATATTAAACTTTTTAAGTTTCATAAAACAATATTAATTTTTTTACGATTGTCAAAATAAACAAAATGTCTAACATGACATAAAGAGATTCAAATACGTCAGATTATTTTATTTAGTTTTTTTACAATCGAAGAAAGTTTATATATTTTTTTAGATCATTATAAAAGTTCAATGTTATTTATAATCGCAGAAAAGCTAATGTATTTTTTGGATAATTTAAAAAGTTTAATGTTTTTTTAGATTTCTTTAAAAAATTTAATGTTTATTTGATAAAAATAAAATAAAATTCAATACTTTTTTATCAAAATTGAAAATTTCAGTTTTTTTTAAATATAAAAATAAAAATAAAAAACACAATATATCGAAGGACCCATCAATCTTGATTGGAGCTCGTTACTCATGCAGAGCGTGTTTATTACACTGTATAAAGCTGTTTTTGGTTGGACTGCGGTATATCAAGTTACACACATATATACATATATACATATACATATAAAAGATACAAGAAGATCTTAGGTTAAATAATTTATATAACGATTAAAACTATTTTCATAATCTTAGTATATAGGATCAAACGCGTCTTGAAGCCAGTTTTTTAATCGGTTTTCATACTACTGCATCTGACTCGGTTTGTAATCGATTTTGAACATATTGAATTGGTAAAGTTTGTAACCGGTTAAGGAATACCGGGTAATAATGAGGAGATTTGGAAAACTGATACATCTGCTACTGTACTGAGAAGCGATGGTGGAGCCAGCGATTAGGGATTTTACTCATATGACACATTTAGGTATCGGGAATTTCATTGGTAGACCAGCGTAAAATTTTTTTTTTCCAACTTTTATACCTCTTTTCGGTTTTTTAAACTGAAAAGAGTTCTGGAATATCTTTTATTTTTTTATTTTTTTATGATTTTGTTACAACTAAACGTATAACTAATATACAACTAAAATAATAAGTAGTTATGATAATATGAATATGAAAGTAGCAAAAACAAACGTAGTTATTTTTAAAATTTGACATATGAATTTTTTATCATCTTATTTAGAATCAATTGCAATTATATTTAGAATTAATTATTGCAATTATATTTAGAATTAATTACGAAGTCGTAATAATAAAATTGTTTTCGACCGAAAAAATTACTCGGATTTATTAGGGTATTACCGTCTTTTCACAAAAAATTAATACTTATGTTTTCGGAGGTATACCTATCAAATTCGTGCGAGCCTGGTCGGTCATCTCAGTAAAATGCCCCAGAAGAGGGCACAACCGAGAGACGACTACGTCGAGGAAGAAGAAAGGCGAAGCAGTGCTCCACCGGAATTTTCCTCTCTTCCTCCTGAGATGATAAGGGAGATTCTCCTTCGATTACCCGCGAAACCGATCGCACGATCCAGGTGCGTCTCTAAGCTCTTTCGCTCTCTCTCTTCGGATCCTGCGTTTGCGAAGATCCACCTCGATCTTTCCCTTCGAAACGACGCCTTCCCATCAAGAGGGTCAAGGCTCATCGTTTCTTTCCGCCGCAATGCCTACACGGTAGATTTCGATTCCATCGTTGATGCGTGCGACGGGATTAGGGATTTGGGTGCTATTGAGATCCCTGAGCCTCCTGTCATCTCCAATCTCGTCTCATCGTATTATCAGGATGGCTGGGGGGTTGAATTGGTCGGGTCTTGCAATGGGTTGGTGTGTACCACTAATGAAAAAGACGATGTGTTCTTGTTCAATCTGACCACTGGAGAATCTAAGAGAATTCCGGGTGTGCTCGAATCTCTAATGTCGGGGTCCAAAGGGGTGCGAATCTGGGGGTTCAGGTTTGGGTTTGGGTTTGATGCCATAACCGATGATTATAAGTTGGTGGCGCTTGTCGAGGGCGATGTTCTGAATAGTTGTGTTTATTCTCTACAGACAGATTCTTGGAAATGGGTCGGAGATTCGCGTTATGAATATTATGATGATGGTATTAGGGACAATGGCCTTCTTGTAAACGGTGCAATCCACTGGGTTGCATTGCGTCGAGAGGATGATCAGAGAGTTGTAGTGGCGTTCGATCTAACGACTGAGCAGTTCAAAGACATGGCTTTACCTGATGAAGCCAAGGATTGCCCACACGAGCTTGGGAGATTTGAGCTCTGTAAACTCAACGGCAGACTCTGCATGGTTTACAGCTGCTGGGAGAACCACAATGATTTCTGGGTGATGAATGAGTATGGGGTGGCTAGCTCTTGGGCCAGAGTTCAGATCAGCGTGTCATGCAGTAACATGAAGCCGCTGTGTTCGGGTAAGAAGGAAGAGGAAACTCTTATGGAACTAAATGGACAATTGATAATTTACAATTTCCGGAATGACACCTCTACGTCATTGGTCCTTAAAAATGCAACGCAGCGCAGCATAATGGCGGCCGAGACATACATAGAAAGCCTCATATCACCAAACTCATATGGTAGGGCTTAGCACAAGTAGGAGAACGACTTCCACTGAATAAATCACCTGACGATGATGATGATGGTGGTGGTTCATATAGAAGGCTGTTGCAGACACATATTGGAGAGTCTTTTATCAGGAGAAGATGTGGGCTTCTTTGGTCATGGATTACACAATGTGTTGTGTTTTTCTGTTGGACGGTTATTAGTTGTTTTCAGTTTAGTATTGTAAGTGTGGGCTGTTAGTAATGACTCAGTCAGCTGATAAATTGCTATATTGTTAGGGATTGCAGATTGTTGGTTGTGATTATAAATGAATGGTTGATAACTGGTGTAGTCACGGTTTGATAAAAAATTCCTAAAAAGATATATTTTTAATATATTTTTTAGAATAATTGTAATTACTTTTTATTAGAAAAAATTATTTACTAATTTAGAAAATAATTTAATAAAGGAAAATTTCCAAAAAACACACTAAAATTTTTAATTTTAACAAAAAAAACACTAAATTTTATTTTTTTATCAAATAAACAATAAATTTTTTAAACGAATCTAAAAAAACATTAAATTTTTTAAATGATCTAAAAAATACATGAATTTTTCTCTGATTATAAAAAAACACTGAATTTTTTTAGTGATCCAAAAAAATATATGAATTTTTTTTCGATTGTCAAAAAAACTAAAACTAAGCAAAATAATTTGGCATGTTTGAATCTCCTTATGTCACGTCAGACGTTTATTTTGATAATCGTAAAAAAGTTAAGTGTTTGTTTTGTCAAATTTAAAAAGTTTAATGTTTATTTGATAAAATAAAAAGTTTAGTGTTTTTCTTGTCAAAATTGAAAAGTTTAGTGTTTTTTTTTTGAATTTTCTCTTTAATAAAAAATAAAAAATATAAATTTTATCAATTAATTTTTTTTTAATTCTTTTTTGGTCTTAGATTACATAAGATTTTGATTCATTAGCTGAGTGATGATATTATGAAAGCTAGTTTTGATTTCCAAGTTAGAACAATGGCCAGGAATAAAAAGGTAGTCTTTTGACGTGTGTGTATATATATATATACACACAAACCAAAGTTAGAGTTTCCAACATTGATCATTGTCAAAGTTGCCCAAAGGAAGATATGATTCAACAATGAATAAAGTTCGTAACTCATATGGCAGGGCTTAGCACAAGTAGGAGAAGGACTTCCACCGAATGAATCTGTGGTTAGACCCTGGATCAATTTCAGCATCATCACCACCTTTTGATGATGATGATGATGGTTCATGAAGAAGGCTATGTGCTTCTTTGGTCATGGATGAATACATAAGGTTTTGATTCATACTGCTGGGTGTGAGGATAATGTGCTATGAATTATGAAACAAGCGTTTGTTAAGCTAGTTTTTGGAGAAATGTCAATATGTATATATACATGTATGTGTGTGTGTGTGTGTATATATACCATGGAAAGCTGTCATTACCAAAATCAGAGCTTCCTATACCGATCACTGCCCTATGGAATACACGATTGGACGCTAAAGTTCGCAACTTTTCATAGATATCAAAACATCCTGTTGTGGACATCCACATCAAATGTTTTCCGATGATGTTAGGTTTAAAAAAATTCCAAAATTTTCAAAGCTAAAAACAAATGGGCCTTCACGAGGCCCACAAAGTGAGGGTATTTTTGTAAATTCAGAAGAAACGAAGGCGTGTGTGAGGAGGGGGGGGGGGGATTCAAGTCCAACCTTCGATAGGTATCAAACCATCCTGTTGTGAACATCCACGTCAAATGATTTCCGATGATGCTAGATAAAAAAAAAAAATCCAAAAATTTCCAACGGTAACGAGGCCCATAAATCCCTTGGATGGCCATTGGATTGAATAATCACGTGTGTTTGGTCCGTCTGTCTTGGAAGATATATTGGTTTGAGGTGTACGGTGGACGCGCACGTAGCCAAGTAAAATATCAAGCGCACTGCGCGCACATATATTTGGTGTTCCAACCGATCTGTTATAGCGCTCCTGAATCAACCATCCAATTTGCATTTCATATATACGTATAATCCTTACGTGTATATATACATTAGTATTAGTGCCATATTTTGCGTGGATTTTAGTATTTGCTACTGAGAGAAGCGATAATGGAGACAGCGAAGAGGGCACGACCGAGATACGACTACGGCGAAAGACGACCACCGCCGGAATTGCCCTCTTTTCCGCCAGAGATCATAAGGGAGATTCTCCTTCGATTACCCGCGAAATCGATTGGCCGATTCAGGTGCGTCTCTAAGCTCTTTCGATCTCTCTCGTCGGATCCTGCGTTTGCGAAGACCCACCTCGATCTTTCCCTTCGAAACGACGCCTTCCCATCGGGTCGGACGAGGCTCGTCGTGAATTACCGCCACAATTTCTACACGGTAGGTTTCGATTCCATCGTTGATGCATGCGACGGGATTAGGGATTTGGGTGCTGTTGAGATCCCCCAGTCTCCTGTCATGTCCAATCTCGTCTCATCGTATGATCAGGATGACCTCTGGATTGAAGTGGTCGGGTCTTGGAATGGGTTGGTGTGTACCATTAATGAAGAAGCCGACGTGTTCTTGTTCAATCTGACCACTGGAGAATCTAAGAGAATTCCGAGTGTGCTCGAATTGCTGAATTCGGGGTCCAAACGGGGGAAAATCAATAGGTTTGGGTTCGGGTTCGATGCCATAACCGATGATTATAAGTTTGTGGCGCTTGTCACGGGCGATGTTCTGAATGCTAGTGTCTATTCTCTCAAGACAGATTCTTGGAAATGGGTCGGAGATTTGCGTTATGTATTTGATGATAACGACGACGATGGTCTTCTTGTAAACGGTGCAATCCACTGGGTTGCAAGGTGTCGAGAGGATGGTCGGAGAGTTGTGGTGGCGTTCGATCCAACGACTGAGCTGTTCAAAGATATGGCTTTACCTGATCAAGCCGATGACTGCCCACACGCGCATAGGGGATTTCTGCTCAATAAACTCAATGGCAGACTCTGCATGATTTACACCTGCAGGAAGCACGATGATTTCTGGGTGATGAATGAGCATGGGGTGGCTAGCTCTTGGGTCAGAGTTCGGATTAGCGTGTCGTACGATTTCATGAAGCCGCTGTGTTCGGTTAGGAACGAGGAGGAAACTCTTATGCAAGTAAATGGGAAGTTGGTGCTGTACAATTTCCGGAATGACACCTCTACATCATTGGTCCTTAAAGCTGTTCAACTACACGGATATTTTGAGGCCAATACATACATAGAAAGCCTCATATCGCCAAACTCATATGGTAGGGCCTAGCACGCGTAGGAGAACGACTTCCATGGAATAAATCTGTGGTTAGACCCTGGATCAATTTCATCATCACCACCACCTTATGATGATGACGATGATGGTTCATGAAGAAGGTTGTTGCATATACATATTTGGAGAATCTTGTATCAGGAGAAGATATGTGCTTCTTCGGTCATGGAATAACGTAAATTTCATTTAAGATTCTGATCCATGTAGCGGAGTGAGGATAACGTGTTGTGTAATTCTGTTGGACGTTTATTAGTTGTTTTCAGTTTCGTATCGTAAACGAGGGCGGTTAGTAGCGACTGGTTGATAAATTGTTGTTACCAGTGAGGATAATGTGTTGCGAATCATGAAATATCAAGCATACGCATCTACACAGAGAACGCTTGAACCGACGGCGATTAAATGTCAGAGTTGGAGAAACCGTTTCCGACCAAAGATCTTACCTCGGAAGAGTCTAAATTCTGACATGACTTCTTTCGTTTGATCGATGTTCTCCATGTTTTTACGACAAGTTCGACATGTCTATATGTTTCTTTGGGTTTGTTTTTGTGTTTGGGTTGATGGATTCTTTGTTTTCTTGTTATAGAAAGGCATTTCGTATCATTCTTTCATAACTAAAAAATAAAAAACACAATATCGAAGGACCCATCAATCTTGATTGGCGCCCGTTACTACAGCGCGTGTTTGTTACACTATATAAAGCTGTTTTTGGTTGGACTGCGGTATATCAAGTTACACACATATACATATTATATAAAAGATACAACTAGACCTTAGGTTAAATAATTTACATAACGATTAAAACTATCTTCATAATCTTAGTATATAGGATAAACGCGTCTAGAAGCAAGTTTTTTTAATCGGTTTTCAATCTACGGCTGCATCTAACCCGGTTATAAATCGATTTTGAACACATTGAATTGGTAAAGTTTAAAACCGGTTAAGGAATACCGGATTTTGACTAGGGTTTGAGATTTCGGGGTCTTATAATATGGAGATTTAGGGAACTGATACACTTTACGGGCGATGATGGAGACGGCGAAGAGGGCACGACGGAGAGATGACTGCGACGCTCCACCGGATTTTTCCTCTCTTCCTCCGGAGATGATAGGGGAGATTCTCCTTCGATTACCCGCGAAATCGATCGCCCGATTCAGGTCCGTGTCCAAGCTCTTTCGCTCTCTCTCGTCGGATCGTGCGTTTGCGAAGACCCACCTCGATCTTTCCCTCCGAAGCGACGCCTTCCCATCGGGTCGGACAAGGCTCATCGTGTCTCGCCACAATCTCTACACGGTGGATTTCGATTCGATCTGTTATGGGTGCGACGGAATTAGGGATTTGGATGCTGTTGAGATCCATTACCCGCTCAAAGACCAACCCAACCTTCTGTACATGGAGGATGAAGATGAGTATCCTGACATGGTTGATCCCGCGTATAAGAGAAACCCGGTTCCAATTTTTGGATCTTGCAATGGTTTAGTGTGTATCTCTCCTGATGAAGGCGCTTTGTTCTTGTTCAATCCGACCACTGGAGAATCTAAGAGGATTCCAGACCTGCCCGAATCGCTAGGATTGGGGTCCAGAGGGGCGTTTGGGTTCTGGTTCGATTCTATAGCCGATGATTATAAGGTGGTGAAACTTGTCAGGGGTGATGATGTTCTGAATGCTATTGTTTACTCTCTGAAGACAGATTCTTGGAAATGGGTTGGCGATTTGCGATACAATGTGGGCTTTAGATCTTGCAGCTCAGGCGTTCTTGTTAATGGTGTACTCCACTGGATTGCAAGACTTCGAGAGGATAATGATCGACAGTTTGTAGTGGCATTTGATACAATGTCTGAGCAGTTCAAAGACATGCCTTTACCCGATGAAGCTGAGGATTGCCCAAACTGTGATGATGGGGATTTAGTGGTCGGGGAACTCAATGGGCGTCTCTGCATTGGTAACAATTGCTTCGACTTGCACGATGATATATGGGTTATGAATGAATATGGGGTGGCTAGCTCTTGGAGTGGAATTCGGGTCCGCGAGGATCACGGATACATGGGGCTGCTGTGTTCAACTAGGAACGAGGAGCACGCTCTTGCGGAACTAGATGGAGAGTTGGTGTTGTGCAATCTGGGGAATGGCACATCAAGACCAGTGGTCCTTAAAGGTCTTCAGATGTACGAAGATTTTGAGGTCCATGTATACGTAGAAAGCCTCGTATCACCGAACTCATATGGTAGGGCTTAGCTCATTAGCATTGCATCAGGTACGTTTTGATTATGCTTTATTGGGTTTTGGGTGTTTATATATATACATATATTCTTTATTGGGTTTGGGAACCTTAGGAATAAGTGGGCTTAGCCCTAGGGTTTTTCCCTATTTAAGGGAGCTTGGCAGATTAATAAACGAGTAAGAAGAAAGACGGTTTTAAGAGAAGAAAGTGTCTTTTGTTAATGTGGTGTGAATTACGTGAAAGAGTTTATAAGCTAGTAGTTTAGATTTGCAAGTTAAATCAATCACCAGAAGTAGAAAATTCGGTCTTTTGACGTGTTTATATGTGTATATACCAAAGTTGAGGCCGAGACATATATAGAAAGCCTCATATCACCAAACTCGAAATGGCACACGTAGGAGAATAACTTCCACTGAATAAATCTGTGTTTAGACCATGGATCAAGATGATGATGATGATGATGATGATGGTTCATGAAGAGAGTTGGTGCAGAAACATATTTGGAGTTTGAAGTTTTTTTGGAGAAATGTGTGTGTATATATACCATGGAAAGCTGTGGGTGGACGTTTCGCGAAACGGTTCGGGTTCGAGACGGGAATGCATCGGTTCGGTTTTTTCGGTTTTACAATTGGTACCAATCAGTTTTTATATTGTATTCAGTTCGGTATCAGTTCGGTTCGGTTTCGGATTTTATTAGAAAAAAAGATTGATTTCCTTTAAAAAATTTCAGTTTTTTGGATTTTTTAATGTTCGGTTTGATTCCGCGAATTTCTGTTCTTTAAAAATAATACCGTTCGAGAATTGAGAACAGTTTCGGATTGGAAAAATACTGTTTTTTCGGTTTGGTCCGGTCTGGTTCTTCTGGTTCCGAAGAACCGAACCGAAACATCCACCTAGCTGTCATTACGAAAATCAGAGCTTCCTATATGGATCATTGTTGTTGGGCTTGGCCCATGATATGGTGGAAAAAGAGGAGACTCTGTTTGTAACGGAGGCTTTCGGTTTAGCGTAAAATCGAGCGGGATTCTTATTCCGAACCAAAACGTTGCGTGGGTTAATACCCTAATGCTTTGATTCTTCGATAATCTACGCACGGTGTTCGAGGAAGAGAGGAGTTTTGCGATCACAGAGGCGATCGTGAGGGAGAAGGAGAAAGACAAGGCGACGGAGGAGTTTCTCGGCGACGACGGAGCGGTAAGCAAAGGTCGAGTCGGTAAGGGTCTTTTGTTCTTGTTTTCGGTTGTTTCTCGGACACGTATCGATGGTGAGTCTCTGGGTTTGTGAGCACCGCTGTCTCTTGGTTGTGTTCGGCGATCTTCGCTGTCTCTCGGTAAAATTTCGATTGTCTTCTATTTTCTTGCAGGAACGAGCATCGGAGAGGTTGAGAGTACTATGATACCGCTTCACAATTGTCCCATGGAATACACGATTGAACGCTAAGGTTCGTAACTTTTCATAGATGTCAAACCATCCTGTTGCGTCTTACTTGGAAGATATATTGGTTTGAGGTGTTCCAAACGTAAAAACAAATGGGCCCATAAATCCCTTGGATGGCCATTGGATTGAATAATCACGCGTGTCTGGTCCGTCTTACTTGGAAGATATATTGGTTTGAGGTGTACGGTGGACGCGCACGTAGCCAAGTAAAATATCAAGCGCGCACATATATTTGGTGTTCCAACGGATCTGTGATAGCGCTCCCGAATCAACCATCCAATTTGCATTTCATAGATACGTATAATCCTTACGTGTATATATACATTAGTATTAGTGCCATATTTTGCGTGGATTTTAGTATTTGCTACTGAGAGAAGCGATAATGGAGACAGCGAAGAGGGCACGACCGAGAGACGTCTACGGCGAAAGACGACCACCGCCGGAATTGCCCTCTTTTCCGCCAGAGATCATAAGGGAGATTCTCCTTCGATTACCCGCAAAATCGATCGGCCGATTCAGGTGTGTCTCTAAGCTCTTTCGCTCTCTCTCATTGGACCCAGAGTTTGCGAAGACCCACCTCGATCTTTCCCTTCGAAACGACGCCTTCCGATCAGGTCGGCGAAGGCTCATCGTGTATTACCACCGCGATCTCTACACTGTAGATTTCGATTCGATCGTCGATGCGTGCGAGGGGATAAGAGATTTGGGTGCTGTTGAGATCCCTCAGTCTCCAGTCTTGTCCAATCTCGTCTCATCGTATTATCCGAAGTACTGGGTTCAAATGGTCGGGTCTTGCAATGGGTTGGTGTGTACCTCTAATGGTGCAGCTGACGTGTTTTTGTTCAATCTGACCACTGGAGAATCTAAGAGAATTCCGGGTTTTCGCGATTTTCTGATTTCGCGGGCCGAGGAGGAGAGCTTCTTTGGGTTGGGCTTCGGGTTTGATGCCATAACCGATGATTATAAGGTGGTGGCGCTTGTCACTGGCGATGTTCTGAATGCGTGTGTTTACTCTGTCAAGACAGAATCTTGGAAATGGGTCGGAGATTCGCGTTATGAATATGATGAAATCGCCGACTATGGTCTTCTTGAAAACGGTGGAATCCACTGGGTTGCAAGGCTCCGAGAGGATGGTCGGAGAGTTGTAGTGGCGTTCGATCTGACGACTGAGCAGTTCAAAGACATGGCTTTTCCTGATGGAATCGATGACTGCCCACACGCCCTTGGGGGATTTCAGCTCCATACACTCAATGGCAGGCTCTGCATGGTTCACGTCGTCGACAAGCGCGATGATTTCTGGGTGATGAATGAGTATGGTGTGGCTAGATCTTGGATCAGAATTCGGATCAGCATGAGGTACAGGGCCATGAATCCGCTGTGTTCGGTTAGGAACGAGGAGGAAACTCTTATGGAACTAAATGGACAGTTGGTGCTGTACAATTTCGGGAATGATACCTCGACACGGTTGGTCCTTAAAGGTTTTCACCTGAGCTGGTTTCAGGCCCGTACATACATAGAAAGCCTCATATCACCAAACTCAATATGGTAGGGCTTAGGATACGTAGGAGAACGATTTCCGCGGAATAAATCTGTGTTTAAACCCGGGATCAATTTCATCATCATCACCATCATATGGTGATGATGTTGGTGGTGGTGATGTTGGGAGAGTCTTGTATCAGGAGAAGATATGTACTTCTTTGGTTATGGAATAAACAATTTCATTTAAGATTCTGATTCATATAGCTTATTGAGGATAATGTGTTATGAATTATGTGATATCAAGTGTGTGTGTATATATATATATATGTATATATGAAGAGAACGTTTGAAGTGATGATAATAACTGTGAGTGGGATATAGTTGCTGGAGCTATCCATCCCCGAGTTGGAGAAACCGTTTCCGACCAAAGTCATCATCTCTTTTGGTCTGATCGATGTTCTGTCTGTTTTTGCGATAAATTCAACATGTCTATATGTGTCTCTTTATCTGTGTGTGATGGGTTATTTGTTTTCTTGTTTTATCAAGAGACAGAATTCACTCTTTTAGAATTCACTCTTTTATAATAAACAAACAAAATACAATATTCTATAGATCGACTAATTTTTTTTATGATCTGAAAATTCACTATAAATCTCTCTTCAAACAGAGGGACTAATTTTTTTTATGATCTGAAAATTCACTATAAATCTCTCTTCAAACAGAGGATAAATAGGATCCGAAAATTATATAAATATATATAATGATGACAACTATATTCACACTTTTAGAGTGTCATTGGTTATATTGCAGCGGTTGCGGATAATAACATTTTTAGAGCGTTTGATAACAATTATAAATGATTAGTATTGACTGGTTGATAAGTTATTATTGACGGCGATTACATGTGGATGCGGTTAGAAGTAAATAGTTCTTGCAGTAGTAGTAGCATTTTAATATAAATTATAAAAAAAGATATTATTTTAAAATATGTTTTATAATAGTTTTAATTAAATTTTTAGTATCATTTGATAAAAATTATTTACTAAATTTATAATAATTAAATAATAAATTTAAAATATAAATACTATCAATTTAATTTATTTTTAAGTAAAAAGTAATTTTTTTATAAAAATTATTACAAAATAATCATTATTAAACCTAAAAATTATCTTATTATATTTTTTATTAAAATACAATTCTAATAAATAATATCAAATCATAACATTAAATAAAATCATCACCATTATATATATATATAT